CGATGAGAAAAAGCTCTTCTCGAGGCTCTCGCGAGAGGCTTGCGTTAAATTAGAAAATAAACTCATCTTTAATCTGCCATAATCAGACGTTACGTTTGACGTTGATGTAACTCGGGCCGTGTTAGGCTTTATGGGAATAATTGAATTGAACACGCGTCTTATTGAACGTAGGATTTCAAAGGGGAAAATGGCATCGTTACCTGAAGTGGCAGGGACTGCAGCATCGCCACGTGGGTTTGATCGTTCGTTACTACCTTGTCTCGCGTTTGATATCGGCATCTCACGTGAAAACCTCTGCCCTGGTTCGTGATCAGCTTCAGGTGTGGCTGCACCACGATAGTGTTGAAGTACTCGATACCGCCGTCGTCCTGTAAAAAGTTCCAATAATTTTTTTTTTCTTTCTTCGCGACGTGGTTAGCTTGTTTTTGTCCAGCTAGGCCAGTTTGACTACAGAGTAAATATTTCAAAAGTGAATGATTTATAATTTTAATTATAAAGAATGTGATACCGAGATGCGTTATTTTAATTTTTCTTTTCGCGTTACGCCTAACCTACACAAATTATCGTCCCATCTCTATTTTGCGCGGAGAACTATAATAAAAATTATTCGCGAATGAAAGAGGTGAAGTGACATCACCCTTAAAAATCACTTCTCGAACCAAAGCAGTGCTTTTCCACCGAGTCCACAGGTCCACAGGTGGAGTAAATCAAGCGACACCGTAGCGATTCTTATCTTGTCCCCGTTTCTACATTGTGCTATTGTGGCGAGATCGTTTGGATGGTAAAAGCAGTTGAAACAAGCTTCGCAAGAACGCAACGCGTATATAGATGGGTGTTTCGGTGCCGGCTGTTGCAATTCTCGGTTACGAGCGTTTCGGTGACGCTGATCACGTTCCCCGTGACTTTCAGTCCTCTGAGCAATCCGTCTGTCCTTGCACCCTGCTAGCAAAAACCGGACCGTTCGCGCTCCTCGTCTTCTCTCCGCCGCTGATTCCTTCGTCTCGTTCGTTTATACTGCCGAGAAAGGAGCGGCATCGTCATTTCTTCCCCTGGCCACGTCCACTTTGCTTTGCCAAGCCAGCTTGTTTCCCCTCTCGTGCACGCAGTGAAATTGATTACTTATTAGTTTTCTCGATGATCCACGTTTCACGGGATACGATCCGCTCGAGAACGTTCGAAGGTTTATTTCACGCTCGTGAAAGTATTTCAACTGCAGAAAATTTTTATTGGGACAGTTGTTGTATGGAAAATGTTGTGTAATGTATAATCAACTGAGAAATGTTCATGGTGCTGGCAATTTTTTTGCAGAGATGGAAATAAATAACGTACATGTCAATATCATAGTTTTACTAAAAAAAAGTTGTGCACGTTATATGTATGAATTATTTTGAAATTCAATTGGCATTGCAGGAAGACATGAGTGTCATGATTATGTTGGTAAATCCTGAAATGAATCAGAAAGTACTAATATATATATGTGTGTGTACATTTAGTATACAACATGAACAACTTTCTTGAATATATTAAAGTCGCACTAAATATTGAAACTTGTTATATATTATTAAAACATATATATTAGCTCGTGAAAGTATTTGAACTGCAGAAAATTTTTATTGGGACAGTTGTTGTATGGAAAATGTTGTGTAATGTATAATGAACTGAGAAATGTGAATATGAAATTAATAAATAATAATTATCTGTTTAAAAATAAAAAGACTTCCTGTGGAATGTAATATACCTTTATCAAGTATCTTACACATTTCCAAACTTTATAATGCACATATTCATGATAGTCGAGTCTTGTAACAGTATTAATGAAATTTCTAGGGCGCGTACAAATGTTCGAATACTTTCACGAGTCCTTTCGTGTAGGCTGTTTCCTTTGTTCGAGGCCTTTTCTTCATTGCCATCGGTAGTCATTTAGTTCTTCAACGTCGATTAACTCTTTTTGGCGCATTCATGCGTGCCGTCCGCCGGATCGGATATTACTATTAATGCGAACGATAATCGTTAGTAATGAGGGTAATTCGCAATCAAAGCTTCCTGCTACAACGGCCGACAATACGTGTAATCAAACGACCACGAGGTTCTTAGGTTCTTCGATTCTTAGAAAACAGAGACAATTATCTGTGGGCGTTGTGACTGCGATTACGTGTTTACCTGGCTGTTTGCTATGTCTTAAGAATTGAACGAAACAAAAGAAGGAAGATTGTGATTTGAAGTTGAAGAGATCGATGTATGTGATTCGCTAGAAAGTTTTAAGTTTCGTTACTAAAACGCGAATTTTTTCTTATGTAAATTCATATCTTTAAACGCTGTGCGTTGCAGAACTATACTTTGGATATTTTACATATTTTTTCGTGTTACGTGCATTCCGCATGTTCGAATTGTTTTTTATAAATGCATAAAGATTCACCGTCGATTTGTTACTAATTTATATCACAGAGGATGTAAAGTACAGTCTAAAATGCTCTAAATTTCAGTAATTACATGCTATGTTAGAAAGTTAATGAGGCTGATCTCGTCCCTCGGAAATTGATAGTACTGTTGAAACTCAGTTTCACCTCAGTAGGAATGTATGAACAACACATTCATACTTAGTTTTTTGTATCATTTGAATCAATGCGTTTATATTCTGCAGTTTTTGCTTTACGTTTTCAGTCGGTTGAAGTTTTTCAAAATTTCTCACGTGAATATAATGTTAACCAAATTGAGGCGACGTCTGACTGTTCGATCAAAAGTAACTCGCCACAACAAAAGCCTGCATCATTTATCACCAAGTTTACGCGTTCAATTTTTCTTATAATTCACACGAGCAGTTTACAAACCTGGTTGTCTGGATTGAACTGTGTAAAACAATGAACTTTCATGCAGCAAGATGATGGCCGCTTAATTGCCGTTAAAAGTTACGTTCCGTGTGAACTGTTTCTATAAATCTATATCACCACAGTGATAAGTTTAATTTTAATTGAATCAACAATTAATTTCGGTTATGCTCGATCTCTTTTCGAGGCGAGGAAGAAACAGTGGAATTGAGAATATATTAAACGATTGTTAAAGATTATTAAAGTCAAAGATTGCTTCAGTTTATCTATATTCTTTCGATTTTTTTTTTTTTAGACCTTTACTAACACTACCCTGTTATCCTACGCAGGGTAGTAATCTTAACATATATAGAACATATTCATAAAATTTAGTATTCAAATACTCACTGTGCTCGTAAGTATATTTATTTTTTTAAAAAAGCAGTGTTATTGTTTCTCTGAGACATCTTAATATCAGCAGAGAATATAGACTCGATCGAAGGATAAAATATTGTGGAAGAACAACATGTGCTGCGGTTTGCTTTATGGAGGAGACATCTCATGCTTTCGAGCGGCGCGGCATTGTAAAGCAAGACTCATGACCTTGACAGGATCTTCCGAGAAACTCAGAATCGTGATCGTCGTCGTCGACGTGGTATCATTATCGTCATTAACGTGTTAACGCAACGGGAATTAATTATTCTTCCCTCGCTTTATCTTCTTGCTGAACTATTAAACCGCTAGCTAAAGTGTAATAAAAATGTCCAGATGTCGCGATAACAGAACGAATCATGCTAGCTGAAAAAATTGTAGGACGATCGTATCAAAAATTGGAGAGATCCGATTAAATATCATAATTGTAGGTATCAAATATCTAGAATAATATTTGGCCTACGTTTTATAAAATATGTATGTCGTTTCTCGTGAATTTACATTGTTTCATTAAAGAAATTGTTTCGAATTCCGAAAATAGATAATTGAAATTGTGTTAATGAAATTTAATTATCAAAGAATTGTTTTCAACCATGGAGAGGTATTAGTTTCGATTTAAATTGATGATAACTGTGACCTTTTGAGTTTCTATATATATCGTATATGAATAGGTATTTAATAATACACATCTTCTTGTGAAATAAGTTAATCATTTCAAAATTCAGTATTAGATAATGTGTCGAGATTAGCTTGGACTGATATGACTAGAAATTTGATTATTTTAGCGAATTATCAAAATTTCTTTCCAATATTGACGAAACAATAATTCAACAAAATAAGTTACTCTAGAGTAACAGAAGCCAGAAAATTCCTTTCGAAGATCATGAAGAAGCCTGCAACCTATTCTTGAACTTGAAAATGAAATGACAATTACAAAAAATTCTTCAGGAGGCCAGTCTCTGAATTCTCTAGCTTGCTTTGAACTGCCAAAAATGGAATGGACAGAAAGTAGTTTTCTAAATCTCGTTTAACTCAAGTAGGAGTCAGATCGAAAGTCGAAACCAAAAATAAAAGATACGCAAAGCCTTCTCGAAAGATCATCTTCTAACTCATCCGACTTCGTGCTCAAGAAACAAAGCAACAAAGATCCAAAATCCAACACTGGTGGAGTCGTTCCATCGGAGCAAAGAGCTACTCCTATCGCCGGTATCCGCCTTTCCCCACGAAGTTGTGGCACTTTCTGCGTCACGGAGAGAGGAGAGCGGAGGCTGGGCGAAAATTCTCAAGGCACACCGTGTATATCGAGCAGGCAACGACCTTCGACGTTGCTCGGCGTCCGACCTCAGCAAGGATACTTGCAATCTGCAGTGCATCGGCCCGAGTCTCGTCAGATCGCTGACTTTACGTTTCACACCTACCTAGCAACGAGGGGGCACCCGCTTTTATGGTCAGGACAGAGAGCCGATCCTGGACCCTCTTGGCGTCACAGACGTGAGATCGTGATCTCTTTGCGGTGTGTGGCACATACGCACCACATCCAGTGATGTGACCTGAGACACAGATGGAATCGCTTCGAATCTCTATTGTACATTTGACCACTTGAAATCACTTGAAACATTTTCCAATTTTTTATTACTAATCTCTGCCAGGCAGAATGAAATCTCTAATTTGGATTTGGATTCTACGTTGCTTAATCGTGGAATCCTTCATTCGATTTAATTTTCTTGTACTAAACTCTCTCTATTCGGGGGGAATAAAATCTGTCACATTCAACTGTGAAGTGAAACAGTTCGATCTTGAAGGTTTTGAAAATCCTGATTGTCTTGGGGATCTTGAAAGTCTCGACGGTTGACAGGATCTGAATGTTCAGTATTTTTTTAAACGTAGAGTTATAAAATAAAAAGATAATCTTAAAAATCCAGAGAGTACAAGTGTATTGCTCACACGAACCTTATCGCAATTGTCAAGACAATTTTGAGAGGTTCATCGAGAATAATTCGTAGTTTAAAAATTCTCGAAAGTTTTGAATTATAGCGAGTTTATCGCTATGTGTGCGAATTCAAAGCGATTCCAAGTGTCTCAGATCCCATCCATTGACCACACCCAGGTGGAGCTCAGCTTGGTCGCGTGTTGTCACACGATCTGGTCTCCTCTATTAAAAGCAAAAAGACGTTCATGATTATTTTTTAGGATTGTGTTTCTCTCGGTGAAGACCACCCTGGTGAACGTGATGGATTTTTACGATTTTGCTGTTGCTTCAGGCACAATTTTCTGCGGTTCGCCTCGACCGTGATCTCTTCTGTTCGTGTTATCCGGATGGTGAATTCCTGATGCTCGGTTTCCTTTATTCGCACAGATGTTTGTTCGTCCATGTTTCTTCTTTTCGCTGTTTATAGACGTGATTTCTCGAACTCTTACAATCAGTCGTACAATTGATTCCACAAGTATGGAATTGTAGGTGAAAAATTGTTTTCGCAAAATGTGTGTATTTCAGCATTTTTGAAATTTAAAGTATTTATTTTAAAATTGAAGACGGTCTGTATTGTAAATACTTAAGATTCAGAGATTTAGTGAGTTATTATTTATAGAATAACTAGCTAAAAGATGTAGGTACAGAGTAATTTTTGAAGATCGAAGCAATCAATCGATGATGTAGGATTACGTAAGGTATCTATTACTATAAATTGTACGGTGCTTATTGTTGAAAGTCGTTACCTAAGCGAAGAAATTAAACCTATTCACAGCAGTTACAGGTACGTAGTTATGGCTTCGTGCTCATTGAGCGAATAAGCTCATTGCGATCTTCAATTAATTATAATCCTCGTTATGTAACTGCTCGTTGCTGGTCTATATTAACAGTTTCATTTAAGATGGCTATTTAAACAAATTTCAAATGCCAAGAACAAACTGTAATCTATCACGTAAGAAGATAGAATATTCAAGGTGAGATTCAAGGTCTTACAATATGCGTGTACTTCAATAATTTACGAGATTCAATATCGTACTCTTCGATTTTATTGAAAACTCGTCATCTGAAAATTCACTCAAAGAAATGAGTGAACATTCTAATTTAATATCGAATTGCTCTGCTCAGGCACTTTCAGGCGGTTTTATTAAAAACTCGCAAAGTATATCTGATCTTAATTCAATAGCCACGGGCTGGAAAATTAAATTAAAATTTGCATTAGCATCGACTCTCGCGATCAGCGGACGTTACACGCGTCCATCACGGCTGTTTGTGCAAAGGCATCGGCAGTTCGTGACCACGTCCGTTTCAGAGATCCTCTCGGCCTCTCCTTCGTTTTACTCCTTTTCCTCTTCGTTTTTCATCCGTCCCCGGCCCTACTGTTCCCTTCTTCTGTCCTTATCCTCGCGTGTACAGGGACATGCACACGTGAGCAGCCGTTGGTTACGTGTTCGTGTATAAACGCGCGATTCCACCAGCCTTGCAGAGGGAGACTCGTTCGTGTAGGTGGGCTTCTCTCACATCGACGACCTCGAAAACTTCCAACCTTCCATCCTCCTCCAGGATGTTCGCCAACCGGTCGAGACGAATTGTGGTGAGACTAAAGGCCACACCAAGTCGAATATGTTAGACAGACTCTTTCGACAGAGTTCTTTCGTCCCTGGCTAATTGACGATTCTTCCGTGATTCTCTCTTCGTGAGAGAACGTACCCGCATTC